GCAATCACATTACCTGTAATCACATTGCATTGTAAAGTACCAAACGCCACCTAAGATCAATGTATGCACCCTGAGAGAATCATAACAAGTGACAAAACTACCGCTATGGATTTCAAACCCAAGATCTTTCATGTCAAACTATCTAAACCACTATAAAAAAGAAAGGTTTTACTGATGAAGAATTTCATCAATAAAGCATTTTGTTCCCTTGGTAATTACAAATATTGATAGAATTGTCGATAGAATATTCTATTGGCAATCAATTAGAAAAACCTTCATAGATTATGGTTATTTTGTTGGCATTAAAAAATTTTATCGGTATCATCTCTAACGAAATATTCCATAGTAAATTTTGTTAAAAAAGCATCCAATCCGTTGGATGGGGGAATGGTCGATGTTGCCATAGTTTTGTTGGTGAAGTTCCATCGGTAATTTACTTATGAAATGGTTTAGTCAGTACTACTTTGAAAGATTTCTTGATGGATCCACCAATGTAATAGCCGATGGATTCTAGCATACACTTAACCTCAAGATTTCATTGGTGAAAGGGTTTAGGTCTATCAGTGATAGTGTTCATTTTGTCAGTAAAGACATCCTTATTTTCATCGGTATAGTGCTTATTCCATCGATAATATTATTTAAACTGAAACCTTTTTTTAAAAAAATTATATTTTCTTGATTTGTTGTTGGCATTTCAAATGAATATAATTTAAATAATAGTATTAAAAATTACTAATGTGTATTGAAAATATTTGAAATTTATATTTTGTACTATATAAAATGTAAATTAATTACATGTTTGTAGAGTATTAAAGATTGTTGACACTTTATTTTTTTTAAGTCGATTTAAGGTCTAGTTAATTTTTTTACTCTCTTAATTTTATTTGTTATTGGGTTAAATTGGATTTAAGCCCAATTACTTCTAAGGTTTTAAAGCCCAAAAAAACAATATAGGTTTGATTTTAAATTTAACATTTTGAACTTTTAAAGCCCAAAAGCCATCAGACCTACAAAAATAGAAAGATGATTAATGAGAAAAAAAGAAGAAGGAGAAAATGCATGCCGTGGCTACTATGCCACTTACAATGGTAGGTTGGACTGCCATCACCTTGCTTAGAGCCACTCCCTTACTCTTTCTCCAATCTGTCCTTTTCTCAGAATGCATGATTACCTTCTCTTTTGTTGTCTAAAAATATGGGCAACTGCCTTCTATAAAAATTTCCAAAAATCACAAAATAAGGGAGATTTTTTTTTTTTTACATTTGAAAGAACCCTTTTGTGAAAAAACCAAGCAACGCTAGCAACCAGACACAACAATTATAAACAAAAAGAAAAAAACTCAACTATTATGAAAATTTTTGTGAATATCCATTTATGTTATCTATATCTAGATTTAGATGTAAATTAGATTGGATCAACATTTAGGGTTTCATCTATCTAATCTCTTAGTATTATCTTCATCTTGTAAATTTTATCTAGATAAGAGGTTGCTTGACTATAAATAGGCCCCTTACTTCATTTGTAAAACACACACTTTAATAAAATCTTCTTAGTCCCTTTAAATATTTTCTTTTATATTTCTCTTATACTTATTATTTCAAGTTATATTTTATAACACGTTATTAGCACGATGCTTTAATCTTTCAAGTTTTGGTATTATTTTATTTTCATCATCTTCAAGTTTCAAAAAGATTTCAATGATTGAGTTTTAATTTCTGGTTTTAACAAATCAGGTAAGTGACTTGATATCTCTATAATGTTTTCATTCCCTAAAAATCAACTTTGATATGAATTTTGCTATCATGTAGTATATATTATATTTTATCTTTTAATTTGAAAGTGAATTTGCTATTATATAGCTATTAATGAAAAATCATGAATGTTCATTCCTTGAAGTTAATGTGACAAACGAGTTACAAATAAAAAATCATAAATCCATCCATTCCCTGAATAAAATGTAACATCATTTAATAACTATGGTTATGGTTATGAGTCCATTTATTCTTTGAAGTAAATGCAACATCATTTAATAATTATGATCATGGAAGAGGTCGTCATAATAATTTACACTATCATTATTTTAATTCTAAAGATAATTTTGCCACAAGAAGTGGATGGATAATTTTGCTACCAGAAATAGATAGATAATTTTATTACCAAAAGTGGATGGATACCTTAATCTACTAACTTACTAAAATGGATAACCTATCAATAAGTGGATTAATACTTGTAATTCACAAAAGTGAATGAAAAGACAAAAATAGATAGAATAAAAGGAATATAGAAAATGCTTGTCATCAATCTGGCATGAAAGGCCATTAGTCACATACTTATATGTCTTGAATTTTATCAAACATCATTGAAAGTTAAAATATATTATGATAATTTTAACCATGGCCAAGTTGGTATGTTATTGATTTTTTGTCCATCTGAAAAGAGAATAGATCATATGATTGGTAATGAAAATATCCATTGTTGATTTTCTTGTCCACCTTAAAAGAGTAATTGATAATTTGATTTTTAATAAAAATATTTAAGCATGAAATTTTTTAATAGTTTGTTGGTATATTTTGTATAACTCTATTTTAAAGATGCTGTTATATGTTCTCATTATATTTAAATAATGTATTCTTATTATGTGTTTTAATTCTATATTTAATGTTTTTTTATATTAACTTACAAGTTTCTTATTGTATAGATCTTTTTTTATTGAAAAAAAATATAGATATTTAGATTGTTGAATCCAAGATCTATGATGTAAATATATGTCTAGCAGACATTGCTACAATGCACATTATATTTAAAGATAAGAAATATTTTTCGCACTTGACAACGAAGAAAACCAATGTCACTATAATATCTGGTAGTTCACGATTAATTGAAAGCTGTAGAAGAATTAATATTTTATTACCTTGAGGAGCAAAGTTTATAATAGAGGATGCATTATTTGCTATTAAGTCTTAAAAAAGTTTATTAAGTTTTAAAGATATTTATTTGAATAAATATTATATTGAAACAACGAACGAAAAAGACACTTAATATCTCTATATTCCATCTATTATCTCAAGTAGAAAGTGTGTGTTGAAAAAAAAAATTACTCCTTTTGTTCTTTGGATTAAACTACATAGATATTAGAATAATTGAAATTCATAGTAAACCAGAAGTTTATAAAAGATTTTAATATTTGACATAATTGATTAGACCATCCAAGATCAATAATGATACTAAAATTATTGAACATTAATATGATTATTAATTGAAAAATTAGAAGATGTAATTTTTTTAGGTGATTTTTCAAGTAATAATTTTCTTAATCCTTCAATAATAAACTTGAAAGTAAGAATGCTTCAATTTAGTAAGGGCATGCATTAAGACATGGGAATAATGTTTGGGGCAATTGGGGTTTAAATGGAATTCAATGAATAGGCAAAATTAACTTCAATACGAGTCTTTTTAATAGACATTATCCTTAAGATTGATTTTGCCCCCACCACTTACTATGCAAAGGTGAATAATGTGAATAGCCTTAGGGATCAATGAAGCCAATGTCTAACTTCGTCTTACACTTTATGATAGTAGACCCTTAGATGCATCCAACAGCTTAAAAAATTGTTCAGCCTTGGAGTCTACTTTTGCAACAAGCAGATTATAAGAAATTTAGATTCCTCTGATAAATGATGGGAACTTAAGTGGTTATGTTTTTTTCAGAATATAATACTTCTACATTTCTTAATTTTTCTACTCTTATCTTATTTTTTTTAGTGTGATAAAATGGTTAATAGCAAGTCTTTTATTTAGGCTTGTAAGCACTTACAAGCCTAAATAGTTACATTAAGGCACCCCTTTGTCTTAAAGATGTCTTTACATTTTGTAAGATACAATATTTGGATAAAGGTATTGTTTCAATAATTATCTTATGAAAAGACAACCATTCATTCTATAAAACATATCTTTGAGTTATACTATGAAAAAATAACTTTTCAAACTTTTCAAATGTAGTTTTTTTCAATTATCTCATAACTTTTGGATTTAGAAGTGTTTTTTCAATATGTCACTTTACCAAGAGACATAACTATTCACATGAAAAATTCACTTATAATTCAATAGTTACATTATATCACTCTATGTGGCATAATTTTTGAGCTAAGATAGCTTTTTATTATGAGACATAACCTTTTATTTTGAAAATACACCAATGATCCCTCACCATTTTCAAAATTTTCAAATACCAACAACTTTAAGAATCTTGAGCATAAATGAAGGTATCTCATAGATTTGAACTTTCATTCAAAGAGGGTGGTTGGTTTTAGTTTGAATTAAGTGGTTAACTAAGCATTGAACCATCGATTCTTCATTTGACTAGTCGGGTCATTAAACACACACAAGCTTCCTTGCTCACTTTTGTATTTAGTTTTGCCAACACATTTTATGATCTTGTGTTCTGTATCCATTTATGAGTGCTGTCAAAATCAAGCCTTTAGCTCTTAAAAGCGGCTACACTTTCACTCACATAAGTAGTCTCCATTGAAAATGCTCCGTCATTATAATACTTCAACATATAAATGTTAAGGATCTATTAAAATTTTTTTTTCAACTTTATCTTACACATTATAAGAACCAAATACTATACATTTTGATATGAAAAATATAAATTAGTGCTTGCAATCACCATGCAATAAAATGGTTAGTATTTAAGATTTACAAATCGATGGCAAGCATCCAGGTAACCTCCCACTATTGAAGATTTAATAGATAGGACATGAATTGGGTTGGGGCGTGCTGGCACATGGATCGGCCTCGGAAGGCAAACGAGCGGCAGATTATTGCCGTCGTGATCCGATGGTGGAGGAAGAGGAGAAGGGAACGACGTGGCGTATTGAAGGACATGAAGCCATTTGATACCATCAATTTCGTTGATCCCAATGTGGTGGTTTAGCCTTTTTCTTTTTGTTTACTTATCCATCCATGGATTCTTTATGCTTTATCCTTATCTCTCTGGAGTGCCTTTCTTACTTTTTGAAGGTGTTGGATAAAATTGTTCAGGAGTACATAAAGAATTCAACTAACCAATTATAATTCAAATGTAAGGGTTTGATTCTCTACAAAATTCATCAATCAAAATACTAATTTGCCAAGGTTAAAAGTGCAAAAATTTAAAATTGAAGAATTGTAGCAGCTTACTTTACCAGGATTCTGAAGGCAAGACAAAGAAGAAGTCAAGATATTATGAATGACCTTGGATATTCCAATGACCAAAATCAGTTACTTTGCTTGTGCAGATAATCAAATTTTGATTCTACATTGTAACATTTAACTTTTTGTTATTTATTTCGGTTTCCTCTCTTTGGATGCTTTAGTTTGCCTTGTCTTCTTTGCTACCCATTGGATCTTTTTCATTTTCTAACTGTAAGACTGAGATCCTGTTGGCTCTATGGCAAATTGTGTGGCCCAAAACACCATCATTCTGTTTGCTCTCTTTTAGAAAGAAGGAAAAAAGATTATTCATTCCAAGATTTCTATAACCAAATATGAGTACGTGACAAAGGCTAAATGCTTCCCCAAGAATTCTTCCATTTGTTTTCTTTTTCTTTTTGTTACTTGTCAGAAACAATCCACCCATGGATTCTTTATGCTTTACCCTTAGCATTCTTGAGTGGTTTTGCACCTTTAACTTTTGAAGAATTCTTTATCAGATACATTACTTCTACAAATAATCGAACTTCGATTCTACATTTTAAAGTTCTAACTTATTGTCATTTATTTCAGTTTCCTCTCTTTCAATGCTTTCTTATGCCTTGTCTTCTTTGCCATTGATTGGAACTTTTTTCCTCTCATTGTAAGATTGAAAGTCTGTTTGCTCCATAGATTTCTTATTCATTCATTTCTATTCTATTTCTGGTTTGCTTTGTCTAATTTAGCAATTAGTACAATTAAAAAGAAAAGAATGGAGTTTCTTACTGGCTTTAAGCATAATTATCAGAGTAAGGTTCAGAATCTGAAGTCTCAAATTGAAAGCCTGAAAGATGAAAGAGATAAAATCAAGCATTCTAGGGGAAAGGGAGAAGAGATTGAACATGATGTCCAGAGTTGGCTGACTCATGCAGAGGACAAAATCAAGGAAGAGGAAGAGATAGTGAAGAATCTTGAAGCAGAAGCAAAGAAGAGGTGTTTCATTGGCCTGTGTCCTAATTTCAAGTCTCTTAACCAGCTCTACAAGGTAGCTGAACAGAATGCAAAGGCTATTCTGGAACTCATTCAACAAGCAGAATCTTACAAGCTCAATAATAAGAACAATGTTCAGAACTTGGAGAATCAAGCTGAGGCTGAGAAAAGAAACAGGATGATGGATGTTGAACAGGACAAGGAAACCAATGATGTGGCAGAGAAGGTGAATAAAGTCAAAGATAACGAAGAGGACAAAAGTTTGGTTGGGTTGGATCCTAAATTCAAGTCTGCTAACCAGGTCAGTGCTTCAGCAGAAGATGATGGCAAGGCCATTGGCGGCGAGCTAATCGAACAACACAGGTTTGGTAGAGGTTTATATCCTGATAGATCCCAGGAGACAGAATCTATGCCTATCCAACGTTATAAGGCTTTTGAATCAAGAAAAGCTACCATGGAAAATATCATGAAAGCCTTGAAGGATCCTGATTTCAAGATCATTGGTGTGCATGGGATGGCTGGCGTGGGCAAGACCGTGCTCGTGAAAGAGATTATGAGGAAAGCCAGGGCAGAAGGCTTGTTTGATGAGGTTGCAATGGCAACTGTTTCACGCAATCCAAACATTAAAGAAATTCAAGCAAAAGTTGCAGATGCATTAGGCCTGAACTTTGATGAGGAGAGTGTGTTTGGAAGAGCAATGAGGCTGCAGCAGTGGTTGAAGAAAGAAGATAAAAGGGTTCTTCTAGTTTTAGATGATGTTTGGCAAAGACTGGACTTAGAAGAAGTTGGGATTGCTTTTGAAAGTTACCAGAATATTGCGAGCAAGGAAGATCTAGGACCAATGATCCAAAGTATCAATGGAAACGCTTTTCAGAAATTATCTGCTGTTAGACTCAAAATATTGCTGACTTCCACAACCCAAGAAGTACTCACCCACATGAAAACGGAAATGAATTTTGAAGTCCAAGTGTTAACCAATGAAGAAGCAATGGTTTGGTTTGAAAAAATCGTGGGCGATACAGCAATGCAGCCTGCTTATCAACAAATAGTGACAAGAGTGGTGAAAGACTGTGCAGGTTTTCCAGTGGCGATTTCAGCAATTGCAGCTGCATTGAAAATGCGGGCCCTTAATATTTTGGTGGAAGCCTTGCCAGAAGAGAGAAAACCAATTCCAACGAAAGAAGAAAATCTGAAAAGTGTGTACTTGACAATACAGCTGTGTTACAGCTTGTTAAAGAAACCGAAACTGCAGTCACTTTTCCAACTCTGTGCCTTGCTACCGAAAGGTTCTGATATTCGTGTGTCTGACTTGCTAAGGTACAAGTTGGGTGTGAAAATAGCAAAAAACGTAAGCACATTGGAGAAAGCAAGAAAAAGTGTGAATAAGCTCAAAGATGCAGGTTTACTAAGTGGTGACAATGATGAGCTGGTGAAAATGCATGACATTGTTCGTGATGTCTCCATTTGGATTGCATCTGAAGATAAGCAGATGTTTGTTATAGAGGATGAAATCCATCTGGAAGAACTGCTGGAGCAGGGAAAACTCAAAAATTGCACTGCCATCTCACTGCCATTTAGTAACATTCATGAGCTTCCGAGCAAGTTGGCATGTCCCAGACTAAAGTTGCTGGTTTTGCTAAACAAAAATCCATCGTTAAAAGTCCCAGAAACATTTTTTCAAGAGATCACTGAACTCTTGGTATTAGATTTGGCTGGTATGAATTTTCCTGTTCTGCCTTCATCATTTGTTAATCTAAGAAAACTTCAAATGTTGTGTTTGGATGAATGTAAGTTGAATGATATAGCAATTATTGGGAACTTGAAGGAATTGAATGCCCTTAGAATTCACAGTTCTGATATCCAGCAATTGCCTTGGGAAATAGGAAAACTAACCAAGCTTAGGTCGTTAGACTTGAGCAATTGTTCCAAACTTAAGGTCATTCCAGCAAAAATCATATCAGGCTTGTCTAATTTAGAAGAACTGCTTATGTGCAATAGCTTTGATCGATGGGGTGTTGAAGGGAATGCTAGTCTTATTGAACTGAAGCCTTTGTCTCGTCTAACTACTTTAGATTTGCATATTCGTTCTGCTCTAGCTTTGCCAGCAGAATTGTTCTCTGAAAAGTTGGACAGATACAAGATTCTGATTGGGGAGGTCTGGGACTGGTCTGGAAAGTATGAAAGGAGGAGGATTCTGAAACTCAAGCTTACTAAGGGAATTCACTTGGATCGTGGAGTTAAAGTGTTGTTGCGGAAAACTGAAGACCTATATCTAGATGAATTGAAAGGCATCAAGAACTTGCTTTATGAGCTGGACAGCACAGGTTTTCCACAACTTAAGAATCTCTATATACAAAATGGTTCTGAAATTCAGTCCATTATTAACTCTACAGAGGTGGTTTCCGGTAAAGCCTTTCCTATCTTGGAGTCATTGTTTCTTCAGAATCTGATTAACTTGGAGAAGATATGTCAAGGCAAACTTGAAGCAGAATGTTTCAAGAGAATGAAAATTATAAGCGTCAAACGTTGTGATGGACTGAAGAATCTGTTTTCATTCTCCATGACCAAAATGCTTCTCCAACTTCAAGAAATTAAAGTGACAAACTGCAAAAGCATTGAAGGGATTGTTGTTGAAGAGAGAGAGGAAAGTACTAGTGTAGCAACCAATAAAACAGAGTTTTGCGAATTGCGATCCTTAACACTGCAACTTCTACCTGAGCTTGGTAGTTTCTGCTCTAAAGAGAAGAGTCATTCCATATATCAACAGGAACCAGTGAAAACAAGGTCTTGGCTACTTTTCAATGGAAAGGTACTACTATATACAAATCTTTTTTTTGTCCATTCAATTGCAGAAGCATACTTATAAAAACTCATAAGAAAGACTAAATTTTATTGAAATGGTGTTAATGTCTGTAGGTTGTGTTTCCTGTCCTTGAGAACCTGCGATTGTCCTCAATCAACATTGAAAGGATATGGGAGAAAACATCGTATTGCAGTCGGAATTTGACAAGCTTAGTCATTGAGGGTTGTGGCAACCTTAAACATCTGTTTTCACCTTCTATCATTAAAGGTCTATCGCAACTCAAAAGCTTTGCGATAATTGACTGCAAGCGCATAAGAGAGATAATAGTTCCAGAGGAAGTACGGGTAGAAGCAAAAGAAGAAGAAGAAGAGGAAGAAGAAGAAGAAGAAGAAGAAGAAGAAGAAGAAGAAAAAGAAGAAGAGGAAGAAGAAGAAGAAGAAGAAGAAGAAGAAGAAGAAGAAAAAGCAGAAGGAAAAAAAATAGAAAAAGAAATGTCCAACAGGATATCATTCCCCCAACTAAATTCCCTTAAGATGAAAAATCTTGGAAATTTAGTTGGATTCTGCTCAGAGAATTATTTTCTCGAATTCCCATCCTTGAAGCTTTTGGAGATAGATAATTGTCCTCAATTGAAGGAATTCATGCACAAATCTCTGAGAACAGACATCACAACTGTCAGTCAAGCTGTAGAAATAAACACAGAGAGGGATTACCATTTTTCTACACAAGCTCTTTTCAGCGATAAGGTATATTATTCTCAATCTCCATTTTCTTCAATCTATGATTTTTCTCTTGCCTTTTGACATCACTTGTAAGAATTAGCTCTTTTTATCCTTTTACTCATTGGCATGAAATTATACAGGTTGCATTTCCCAGCTTGAAGATATTGAAAATCTTCTACTTGAAAACTGTGAAGATTATATGGCACAACTTACTCCATACAGATTCCTTTTGCAAACTAAAGGAAATGAAGGTTGGTTTTTGCAATGATTTGTTGACAATTTTTCCTTCTAATATGGTGGGGACATTCCAGAGAATCAAAACACTAATAGTTAGCAATTGTGAATCACTGCAACATATTTTTGAAATCAAGGTGTTAGACATCAAAGATACAAATCCTGTAGCCACCCAACTAAGAGAATTGTACATCTTTCATCTTCCAAACCTGAAGCATGTCTGGCATGAGGATCCTGGAGACATTCTTACCTTTCAAAATATGCGTATAATGCATGTTCGGGATTGTTGGAGCCTAAAAAGTCTTTTTCCAGCATCAGTGGCAAAAGGTCTAAAACAACTCAAAGATCTTACAATTAATTGTTGTGGATTGGAAGAGGTTGTTTCAAAGGAGGAAGGATTGAAACAAGCTGTTAATAATTTTGTCTTTCCTCAAGCCTGCTATCTTACTCTTTGGAACCTGCCTGAACTTAAATGTTTTTACCCAGCTATGTATGAGATAGAATTGCCAAAGTTAAAAATGTTGAAGACTTATCATTGTGGCAAAGAAAATATACTTGGGATACAAGAACATCATTCCTCAATCCAAACGCCGCTTGCCCTGATTGAAAAGGTATTAATCTCCAACATTTCTTTAAAGATGTTTACATATGATGTGCAAACTGAATGAGCTGCCTAAATTTTGTTGGCAAACTTGAATAGCAAAAGGCAGTTGGATATCTAGAATACTGTTTTATTTATTTTTTCCACTTTTTCCTGTAAATTCTACTGAAAACTTTGGTTTTGCTTTAAAACAAGCAATCCATGTGTTAATTATCTTTAATTTGTAATGTTTTGAAAGTCCTTTTAGCAGCACTGTACCTTTCCAGCTTCAACAGAACTTTCATAAATTTAGATATAGTGTTAATACTTTAGCAGCATTTCAAATAAAAATGCGATTAAACTTATATGATAATTAATAGTAAACTAATAGTTTTGATTCTTTCACTATACTGGATAGGAGTAGAGCTATGCAGATGGTCAAAAGAGAAGAAAGGGAAAGAAAGGAAAAGGAAAATAAAAAAGAAGTTGAAATAGAAATTGATCTCTTTTGATTGAAAAATGATAATATGGCAACTCTATAACTGTAAATTAATTGACTTGAATTGACCACCAGCAGAGAAAATTTTCTATTTTCTTACCAAAACATATGGTTATATTAAGGTAAAGAGAAACTAAGTCCAACTTGTTTTTATTTGATGGATTCCTAGGTCATCCCTAATTTGGAGGAATTGTCATTAAACAGCAATGACATTTCTACAATATGCAATCATCAGTTTCCAGGACCCTTTGGTAAAATAAAAGTTCTTCAAGTGCTTTGCTACCATGACAAATCAGCTGTTTTTCCATTTTGGCTTCTCCAAGAATTCAACAATCTGGAGAAGCTTGAGGTGATTTGTTCTGAATTCAAAGAGCTCTTCAGCAATGAAGGAAAGGCCAGTGAAAAGATGCCGGCAAGGATACTTAAACAAATTAGAAAATTAAAACTGGATAGTCTTCCTAATCCAAGGCATATATGGAAGCAAAACTCACAACTAGATCATGTTCTCCCAAATCTTGAAACTCTTGAAGTTTGGAGATGTGATGGATTGATTAGTTTAGGATCATCCTCAGTATCCTTTCAGAATCTGACAACTTTGGATGTTTGGCAGTGCAAAGGGATTGTAACCTTAATTACATCCTCAACAGCACGAAATTTGGGGCAACTAATAAAAATGAGGATAAGAGAATGCATCATGGTGACAGAAATAGTTTCAAATTGGGGAGATGGCTCAGAAACCGAGATCATTTTTAGCAAGTTGAAATGTTTGGAACTTCATTATGTACCAAATCTCAAAAGCTTCTGTTCAGGGAAATACGCCTTTCAGTTTCCATCTTTGGAACAAATTATTGTGAGGCAATGCCCTAAGTTGAAGATCTTTTGTCAGGGAGACTTAAGCACCCCAGAGTTGTATAAAGTACTACTAGCAGAAGAGGATTATAAGTGGTTTTGGGCAGGTGACCTCAATACCACCATATATCAGTTGCACGTAAACATGGTACTTACTGGATTTATAAACTTTATTCTCTCTTTTTTGGTTAATGACAGCAACTGTTAGTCCTTTTTTTCTAATGGCATTTGTTCTTCTAGTTTGACTTTTGCTATATTTTGTTTTAATAGGTAAGATACTATGAGCCAGAATATTTGAAACTTCATGAGTTTCCTGAGCTGGAGGAAACATGGAATAAAATTCCTCAAGGAATTTTGGATTTTAAGAGACTCAAATTTCTGGAACTTTATAGCTGCAACAACTTGAGCTACATTTTCACTGCTCCCATGACTCTAGAACTTGTGCAACTTCAGCAGATAAAGGTCAAAAATTGCAAAGCTATTAAAGAAATCATCAAAGATGAGGGAGCAACCACAGAGAAGATCATATTCTGTCAGCTTAACTCAATAACTCTCAAATCTTGTTTGGGCTTGGCAAGTTTTTATCTAGGAAGTTCTGCATTGGAATGCCCAAACTTGAAGGAAATTACATTAGTTGATTGTCCACATATGGTTGCATTTGCATCTATAGTTTCACAAAAGCTAGACATAGAGATCATTGATGGAGGAAATACCAAGATGCTTGGCAAGGGCATTCCTGATGTCTCTGCTGCACCCTTTTTCGGTGATAAGGTCAGGCTGTTCTGTTTTGTGAGGATAATTTTTCACATTTTTAAAGATTTTCGTTTTAAGGTGTAACTTCAAAATGAAAATGCTTGATTAGTGCATCTCTGTTGTCTGTGTTGTATCCTTTTCCAATTATAATTTTCCAGGGCTTAAAAGGTTTTAAAACATAATTTTTCTTCTTCTTCTTTAGTAAAACTCAAAAGGCTTTCTCTCATTTTCTTTCACATAACCATGTTTTGTTATTAACACAATCAAATGAATTTTGCAGGTGTCATTACCTGTGTTAGAGGATTTGACAATCATAGACATGGGAAACTTGGAGAGGCTATGGGATGACCAACTTGAGATGAATTCCTTCTTCAAACTAAAGCACTTTAAAGTGCATGGGTGTTTGAAACTATCAAAGGTTTTTCCCCTTAAAATGTTGGGAAGACTTCAGAGACTTAAAAATCTGCAAATAATGAAGTGTGCTTCGCTTGAAGAAATATTTGAATCTAAATTGACTGCGGCAGAAAAAAACAATAAGTTGGTATTTCCTCATGCGACATACCTGAACCTTTCTATGCTACCAAAACTGAAGAGTTTCTACTTCGGGATGCACACTACGGAATGGCCATCATTGACAAAAATGGATGTTTATGGATGTGACCATGTGGAGATATTTGCTTTGGAATACCCGGGCTCCCAAGAAACACAAGGACAAAGTCAACTTCAGCCACCCCTGTTTTGGATCAATAAGGTATGCGAAACATGTCCACCAGATGCATTAATTTTCCATTTCCTATTCTATATATTTAATGAAGTATAGTAAATCTAGATGAATGTCTTCTATTTTTAATATATATCTGTTTCTGTTTGGCATGGTAGCTTATCCTAAGCATTCTCTAATTGGTTATCCTCATATGACTTTAAATAGTAATTTAAACACATTTATGTAATTCAGCACCCTTTATCCAATTCATCCTCGCTTTTGTTTAACACATTTATCATTTTCCCAGGACACATTCCCCTGTTTAGAAGAACTGAGAATGGAGTGCAATGCACACATGAAAGAGATATGGCATGGACAACTTCCAGAAGGGTATTTTAAACTGAAAGTTCTTGAACTGATAAATTTTCATGCACAAGTAACTGTTCTTCCATCTTATTTCTTTCGGTCATTATCAAATCTTGAAAAGTTAGTTGTGAGTGATGCTTCCTTTAATGAAATATTCCAATGTGAAGAACTTGGTGGTGAGGAGAAACAGGAAAGAGCAATTGCTCAGTTAAGCGGTTTGAGGTTATCAAAACTCCATGAACTGACACATCTTTGGAAGGAGAATTTCAAACCTGGAGCAATTTTCTATAACATGAGAGCTCTAGAAGTGCATGATTGTGGTAAATTAAAGATTTTAGTGCCTTCCTCAGTGTCTTTTGAGAATTTGACAACTCTAGAGGTGTCAAGATGTCAGGGACTTAAACATTTAATTGCACACTCCACAGCTAAAAGCCTGGTGCAGCTTACGAGAATGAGTGTAACAGATTGCAAAATGATAGAAGAAATCATAGCATGCTCAGGTGATGAAGTGGATCAAAGCATTGTTTTCCCTCGGCTAAAGTGTTTGGGACTTAGTTGTCTGCCAAACTTAGAAGGATTTTGCTTGAGGAATTACACCTTCCAATTTCCTTCCTTGGAAGCTGCAATTTTGAGACACTGCCCAAAGATGAAAAATTTGCCTCAGGAAAATTTACGACTTATGTATTCAACTGATGAAGATGAAGGGCATTGGGAAGGTGACCGGAACACCACCATACAACTTTTATTCATGGAAACAGTATGCACTAATTCCAAACTCTAATCCTCCACCTTTGCTTTTCTCTAGTTTTTCCTTTCTTATTTGCTTTCCCTAGTCATTTTAAATAAACGATCTTATTAGCTGCAAGGTTACTCAAGTATGTAGCTTCCTTATGATGCTGCTTGCAACAATAACTTCATTGGAAAACCTCTAGGAATATAACAGCTAGATATTTTTTATCTTAATGTCATTTTTTGTGTGCTATAAATATCTTGGATTTTGTAGGTTGAATACCGTGCGATTGAGTATTTGGTACTCTCTGATTCTTCCAAGTTGATGGATATAAGGAACTGGAATCCACAAGGAATTTTGGACTTTAAAAACCTTAAATTTCTGAAAGTTTATAACTGTAGAACCTTGAGATATGCATTTAACCCTTCCATGGCCATGGACCTGGTGCATCTTGAAAAACTTGAGATTCATGATTGTCAGATGTTGAAAGAGGTAATAACCACACAAGGATTAGCAAAAACAGAAAGGATGAGCAAGAAACTGTTCCCTAAACTGGCCTCGTTATTGTTTAATGCCCTTCCTAATCTCACAAGATTTTGCTCAGGAAATTACTTTGAATTCCCCACCTTGAAAGAACTTTGGGTACAGAGCTGCCCTATGTTGAAGACATTCATCTCTGGTTCTCTAACTAGAAACAATTCAGGGCAGTATCTTCATACTGATTTGACAGTTCTATTTGATGAAAAGGTGATTACAGTTCTGGATTTTTTTTCCTTACTATTCCTTTAATTTTGTCTTTAACATGTCATATCTCCATTTATGTTAAGTTATTAAGGGAATCTTATGATTTTGCAGGTAACATTCCCTTCCTTGGAGAAATTAGGAATCATTGACATGGGAAGCCTAAGAAAGATATGTAATGACCAGTTTTCTGCGGATTCATTCTCCAAACTAAAAGTTCTGAAGCTCATAGGTTTACCTAAGCTATCAGATATTCTTCCATCTTGTTTCTTTCTCTCATTGTCCAAGCTTGAAAAGCTTGTTGTGGATGATGCTTCCTTTACAGAAATATTTCAATGTGAAGGACTTGGGGAAAAAACACAGGCATGGGAACTTGCTGATTTTAGTGATTTGCGACTGTCTAAACTTCCTGAGTTGACTCATCTCTGGAAAGAGGAGTTTCATTCTCAACCTGGAATACTTTTCCAAAACCTGAGAACTCTAAAAGTATTGGAATGTCCCAAATTGAAGAGTTTAGTGTCATCCACAGTGTGTTTTAAAAATCTAACTACTCTGGAAATATCAAGGTGTCATGGATTTATTAATTTAATAACACCCTCAACAGCAAAAAGCATGGTGCAACTAAAAAGAATGAGGATAACAGATTGCAAAATGATGGAAGAAATCATAGCAAATAGTGGTGATAAAGAGAAGGATGGCATCATTTTCAAGCAACTGGAGATTCTCAGACTTCAAAGCTTACCAAGGCTTCGGAGCTTCTGCTCTGGGTACTATCACTTTGAGTTCCCAGATTTGGTTGAATTTATTGCAACAGAATGCCCTGAGTTGAGTGTGTTCTCCAAAGGAGAAATAAGCACACCATTGCTACGAAGGGTATGTCTAACAGGAGAAGATGATAGGCCTCTTGTAAATCAGGACCTTAATACCACCTTAAAAGGATCATACACAGAAAAGGTATGTTGATTTATCAAATTATCTCAATGCTATTTGTTGTATAGGTTTAGACACCTTGAGCACATGAGTTACGCTTAATTTCCAGAGTTCATGGAAACATGGAATACGAACACTCAAAAATTGATCAAGACTTGATTCTTCAAAATCCTTTAATTTATTTGTAATTACAACAGCTTGAGGAACCCTTTAATTACTTCTACTCTGAAACTCCAATGTATGGAACTAAGCACATGAGAAGCGACTGTATGGTAGAGCAAATCCAAGAAAAATGAAAGGCCATTAACATATTCCAAACTAGAGTTTCACCAAATATTTATTTAAATAGAAAAAAGCATCATTTCATTTTTTTTCTCCCTTAATTCCTTTCCTTGTCAAAAGTTTAGACCTTATATACTTTTGAGCATTGCCTGTCTCACTCTCTTTCTCTGTGCAACTCAGAGTCGGAATGAGGTGAAAGACTTGGAGTTTCTGGAATGGATGCTATCAGATCTCTGGAGACCTTCAGTTGAGTGAAGTTCAAGTGAATTTTATCTCCAAATTTGTTGTGGGAGGGTAATCTTATCAGGTCTTAAGTCTCTACGTTTCTTTTTCTACTTTGCTCTATTTTGTTTCCTTCATTGAATGGAATCCAAAGATATGAAACTGGATTTCTACTATTGTGAATCCTACTTTCTGCATTTTATTATTTCCTTCGGATATGAAATTGTTAAGGCTCATGTAACTATGAAATGAATCCAATCTTACAAACTTGAGGGTGTTTCTTTTCCTTTTGAACCGGCAGCAAATGCCTTTTGTTCTGCTGCTTGCCATTTTAATCTCTTTCTCCTTTTATCTTCGAGCTATATGTAGTTGAGTCACACTTGTAAATGGTGAATACCTACGTAATTCTTTGTTAAGTTTGGATAATTGCAGGATTGTAATAAAAGGAATTACTGGTGAAATGTTCCGTGTGAACAAAATGAATGCTATTAACAGGGTGTCAAAGCTTAAGTCAAGTATTGTACTATATATATATATATATAATTAAATGAATGATGTGAGGCATGTAAATTCATTCAATTTCAGATTTAGTTCTTCTCTTTTCTTCTTATTCTTTCTCGTTTTCCTTTTCTGTTTTACCTTCAATGCTGCTGCAATGAACTTTAATCTCAATGCAGCTAAACTTTTATGTCTTAAATACTAAGCCTTCACAAAGGAAATCAAAACCACCCTCTTTCAGAAAGCATGGCATCGATTAGTTTTATAACTCCTTACCACCAGCTTTCAGTGTTGAGTAGTTTAACAACTCCTTCACCACCAGCTTTCAATGGTGCGAATTATGCCTTTTGGGTAGTGAAATGAAGGCTTTTATCAGAGCTTCTAACCTCTGGGAAGTAGTTGAACAAGGAGGAGACTCTCCTGAGCTAAGAGCTAACCCAATTATAGCACAAATGAGGTAGCATATTGAAGAGGTAGCCAAAAGTTACAAGGCTCTAACCTCACAGTGCAGTGACAGATACCATTTTTACTATAATCATGCTTGTGAGACAGCCAAAGGAGCTTGGGACAAGCTTAAAGAAGAGTTTCAAGGGTTAAATAGGACTAGATGTTGAAGGATAGTCTCTGGTTCAATACTCTGCTCGGATTGAAGAAGCAGACCTCACCTGCTACCTACATAGTTATTTAACTTCTTGCTTATTTCAACTTTTTATGTTATTTACCTTTTCGGTCAAGCAATGTGTTAGCTTTAGCACAATTGCAGCAAAGGACAACTGACAATCTTAGTGGTGCTGCACCTCTTGTCCAGTTGCTTTTCTTTATTTTAATATTTTATCTAGTGCTTTTATATTGTAAGTTCAAATGGGACTTTACAGTGAATACAAGCAAGTCTTCTTCATTTTTCTTTGCCTACTCTCGTTAACTGGTGTAAAAGGAGCCTCATTTCTTGACCAAGATCGGACTTACAAGACTTTCTTTATATTTTACATGAAACTTTTCATGGTATCAGAGCGTGAAAAGAGTTCTTAGAGGACTACTTTAAGCATTACTTTCTAGAAAAATCAAACCTTTTTCCCTTTTTAGCCTTCATCGATCTGTTTTTTCTCACCTGCAAACAAAAGCTACAGAGTATGGCTTCTTCAACCTTTAATGCCATCGCTTCGCCAATTTTTAATGGAGAAAACTATCCCATATAGGTTGTGAAGATGAAAACTTACCTAAAGGCTTTTGACTTTTGGGAAGTGGTTGAAGTTGGAGGAGAGCCATCGGTTATGTGCCATGCCAACCCCACTATGGCTCAACTTAAATAGCATAGTGAGGAGGTGGCTAAGCAATTCAAAGCTCTGTCGTGTATACATTCCGCTGTGACAGATTCAATCTTCACAAGGATCATGACTTGTGAAGCTCCTAAGGAGGCATGGGACAAGTTGAAAGAAGAGTTCCATGGTAGTGATAGGACCAGAAAGATGCAGGTATTGAATCTTTTAAGGGTTTTTGAAGGTTTGAAAATGAAGGATGAGGAAACCATTAAAGAGTTTTCAGATAAGGTCTTGAAGGTTGTGAACCAGTTGAGGCTTCTTGGTGAAGACTTGTTAGAGAAAAGAATCGTTAACAAAGTCCTTGTGAGCTTGCTAGAGAAATTTGAATAAAAAATTTCTTCTTTAGAGGACTCCAAGGACATAGCAACACTGTCCTTAACCGAGCTGGTTAACGCCTTACAAGCTCAAGAACACAAAAGAGCTTTAAGTGAAGATGACCATATAGAGGAGGCACTATTAGCTCGAGTTAAGGATAGAAGAAATTGTGGCAACTACAGAAGAACTGATGGTGAAAAGAAGGATAAAGAAAAGAAAAAAAGTAACAAGAATCAAGGTAAGGAGAAAGGAAAATTTCCTCCTTGTAGTTGCTGTAAAAAAAGAAACCACACAGAAAAATTTTGCTGGTTCAGACCCAATGTGAAGTGTCGTAATTGTAATTAGCAAAGTCATGTTGAAAAGGTGTGTAAGAACAAGGATGCAAAAGCCGGAGAAAATGCTACTGTAGCGGAGCAAAAAGATGGAGCAGAAGAATTTCTTTTCATGGCAAGGAATCCAGGAAACTCTGCTAAGAAAGAAATATGGCTTATCGATAGTGCCTGTTCCAACCACATGATTGGAGATGAATCTCAGTTTTTGACACTAAACAGAAACTATAAGTCAACTGTGCAGATAGGGAATGGTGATTTACTACAGATTTGTAGAAAGGGAACAGTTACAGGTATTAAGTCTATTCCCAATGTTCATTTTGTGCCAGATGTTAAACAGAATTTATTGAGTGTGGGTTAGTTAACTGAAGAAGGATTTATTTTATTGTTCAAAGATAAGGCCTGTTCTGTCTTTGATTCATCTGGAAATAATTTATTTATTGTTAGGATGAGAAACAAATGTTTTCCATTAAATTGGATGGAAGTTGAGTATCAAGCTTACTCGTGTTTCTAAGGATGCTAAGTTATGGCACCGTAGACTTGGCCATGTCAACTATTCTTCACTAAAGAGAATGGGAGCTATGAATTATGTTACTGATTTACTTATGTTGCCTGAGAATGAACACTTGTGCAGTACATGTCTTCGTGGAAAACAAAGCAGGACTCCTTTTCCACAGTACAACAATTCAAAGGCCACTGATCGACTGCAGTTAGTCTACTCTGATGTAGGAGGACCCATCAAGATAGCTTTATTAAGTGGCAGTAAGTTCTATGTGACTTTCATAGATGACTACAGTAGATTTTATTGGGTTTATTTCTTGAAAAGTAAGTCTGAAGTTTTCAGTTGCTTTATTAAGTTTGTGGCTTTGGTTAAGAATCAAATTGATAGAAATATTAAGGCATTTAGGACAGATAATGGTTCAGAATTTGTCTTTAATGAGTTCAAGAATTTTCTGTCTCTTAAAGGGATAAGGCATCAATTAACTGTCCTTTCTAGTCCCCAGCAAAATGGCATATGCGAGAGGAAAAATCGAACTCTCCTGGAAATGACAAGATGTCTTTTATTTGACCAAAAATTGCCTAAAGTCTTCTGGGCAAAAGCTATAAATGTTGCAAATAATTTGTTGAATATTCTGCCAACCAGGGTGCTTGAAGACAAGAGTCCATATGAGGCCTAGTTTAACTCCAAGCCATCTGTTGCTTATTTGAGAGTGTTTGGGTGCATTGCCTGCTCACAAATTCCTCAAGTTAAGAGAACCAAGCTTGATTTTAAATCACAAGTATCGATTCATCTTGGATATAGTGATACCTGTAAGGGATATTGCCTCTATAACATCACAGACAAGAAAGTTTTCATCAGTTGAGATGTGAAATTTGATGAGAACATGTGCTGGAATTGGGACAAACTTAAAGTGGAAAATATTGAAAATAATGATGTGATTGCAAGCTATAATCTACTTGGGGAAGATGTGGATTAAAATAGTGATGAAAGTATTGATGATGTGGCTGTTCGTGGAACACGTTCTCTCTAAGAAATATATGAGCGCTGCAATGTTGCAATTGTGGAGCCAAACACCTATGATGAGGTTGCATCAGATGACAGATGGAGGAAAGCCATGGAAGCAGAAATGGAAATGATTAAGAAGAATCAAACTTGGGTTCTTGTTGAAAGGCCAAAAAATCAAAAAGTCATAGGTGTCAAGTGGATTTTCAAAACCAAGTTGAATGTTGATGGTTCAGTAAACAAATTGAAAGCCAGGTTAGTAATCAAGGGTTTTTCTCAAGTTCAAGGTGTTGATTTGTTTGAAACTTTTGCTCTTGTTGCTCATCATGACACTATAAGATTGCTGGTTGCTCTAGCTGCCAAGAAAGGATGGAGAGTTTGGCATTTTGATGTTAAATCGACATTTCCCAATGGTGTGATAACAGAGGACATTTTTGTTGAGCAACCAGAAGGTTTCTAGGAGAAAAGTAATGTAAACAAAGTGTGCAAATTGCTTAAGGCTCTTTATGGCCTTAACCAGGCTCGAAGAGCCTGGTATGAGAAAATCGATGGATATCTAGTTAGCAATGGTTTCAACATAAGTGAGAATGAGCCAACCTTATATGTGAGAAGCTTTGAAAATGCAGTGCAGCTTATCGTATCTTTGTATGTTGATGATCTCCTCATTACTGGACCCGATGGTGACCTCATGAATGATTTTAAGAGTAAGATGCAAAATGAGTTTGAAATGAATGATTTGGGAGAAATGTCTTATTTCTTGGGGCTACAAGTGCAGCAAAAAACAGACTACATATTTCTCCATCAACAAAAATATGCTCGAGAATTGTTGAAGAAATTCAATATGGAAAATTGCAAATCTACTCCAACTCCTCTCACTACTGGTTACAAACTATGCAAGGAAGATGGAGGTGCTAATACTGATGCAACCAATTATAGAAAATTGATTGGGTGTCTTTTATATTTGTCTGCAACAAGGCCTGACATTATGTTTTCTACAAGCTTGCTGTCACGCTTTATGCAATCTCTTTCATCACTTCATTTAGTTGCTGCTAAACGCATTTTGAGGTATGTAAAAGGAACACTGGACTATGGTCTTAAGTTTAGCAAGCATGAAGAAAAGGAATTAACTAGATATTGTGACAGTGATTGGGCTGGTAGTCTTGATGATTCACGTAGCACCAGTGGCTTCTGCTTCTCATTTGGTAGTGCCATGTTTACTTGGAATTCAAAAAAATAAGATATAGTTGCTTAATCATCGACTGAGGCTGAGTATGTTGCAGCAGCTTCAGTTGCAAACCATGCCTTGTGGCTTAGAAAAATTTTGTCTGATCTGAAGTTTGAGCAAACTGCTGGAACAACTATCTGGATCGACAACTAATCAGCCATAGCAATTGCTAAGAACCACGTTTAGCATGGTAGAACAAAACATATAAGGGTCAAGTTCCATGCAATCAGGGAGGTTGTAAAAAGTGAAGAAATCTCAGTTAACTATTGCAATGCTCATGAACAAGTTGCTGACATACTGACTAAGGGCCTAAGCAAGGACGGATTTGAAGAGTTGAGGTCTAAATTAGGAGTATTGACTGCAGATCCTATGGAGGTGTGTTGAAGGATAGTATCTGGTTCAATACTCTGCTGGGAGTGAAGATATCAAACTCGAATTGAAGAAGAAGACCTTACCTGCTACCTATATAGTTATTTAACTTCTTGCTTATTTCAACTTTTTCTGCTATTTACCTTTTTGGTCAGGCAACGTGTTAGCCTTAGCACAATTGCAGCAAAGGACAGTATGTGGAGAAACTTATGAAGATAGTAAATCAAGTTAACTAAAAGAAGGATAGTGGAGAAGGCCTTAGTGAGCATACCTGAGAGGTTTGAAGTCAAAATATTCTCTCTTCAAGGGTCGAAAGACCTTTCCAGCTTGACCTTGCAAGAACTAGTATATGCTTTTCAATCCTAAAAGTAAAGAAGGCAGATAAGGCTTGATGAGTACACTGAAACAACATCGTAGGCCAAGTTTAAGGACAAGAATGTCCTTCATAACAGTAACAAGTGATCCCAAGGTGATAAAAGGAACAAGGAAAGAAAAGTTTCTTTAAATTAGAGACAACAAGGTAAGAAAAACAAGTATGATGTTTATTCTTAATGCAAAAAAACCAACCACTTTGAAAACTTTTGCTGGTTTAGACCAAACGTAAACCGTAGCAGCTGCAATCAACATGGACATATAGAAAGAGAATGCAAAAACAAGATCAATCAACAAAACTAGCAAGCTCAAGTAATTGAAGAAGTTGAGACAACAGAAGAGTTGTTGTTCCTGACATTTAAGGACAATTTTGGACAATCGTGACAAACTTGGTTATTTGATAGTGGCTACTCAAGTTACATAACACCTAATGCATTCTTGTTTACTTCAATTGATCAGAATCAATGTGCAAGAATAGAAATTGGGAATGGAGACTACTTGGAGGCTATTAGCAAAGGTACAATAATTGTTTCCATAGCAAATGAAACCAGGCATGTTCCAAATGTCTTCTTAGTGCCTCACGTTAGTTAAAAATTGCTTAATGTTGGTCAAATGATTGACAATGACTATACCTTATTGTTTAAAAACAAAGCATGCACCATAATTGAGCTTACAAGCAATGTTTTAATGACTGTCAAGATAAAAAATAGGTGTTTTCCACTAGATTGGCATCACTCAAGCTCGAATGCTATAAATAAGCTTGATTATTATGATGTATTTGAACTATGGCACATGAGATCAAGGCATTGTAACTATTCAACTATGAAATTACTGAATTTTGAAAATTTAGTGACAAAAATGCCTTTCATGCATGTTCATTTTGAAATCTATAAAATTTGTCAATTTAAAAAGTAAAGTACAAGTTTTATAAATTAATACTCGATAAATTAATAATCTTGATTAAATAATATTTTTGATCGATCTTGACTTGAGACCAATGTAGTAAATTAATAATTCGCTAAATTTATGAGATAATACATTTTAAAAAAGCACATAGATCCTATTTAACATATAAATTAATAATCTCCTTACACATCAAAATTATATATATGTACATGACTCAATTAGGAGATCTTTGTAAAATATGACTTTAATGTTACTTATTTCCTCTTAAAAGTGATGCCTCCTTAGATCTCATCTCTAACTTTTCTTAGAGCATTAAGAAGTTCTAGGGTAATATTCTCGTATTGCAAGAGAAAATTATGCATAATACATGTATTAAGTTTAATATTTTTTTTAAAAAAAGAATACCTTGAAAATTAATTTTTATTAATTGATGTATAAATTAATAAATTATTAATTTATCGATTACATAATATTTCAATTAATTAATAAATTTTCATGGTCCCAAAGATATTAGTTTATAGAGGATTAATTGTATTAGAGGAGCCTCGGAGAAGCATAATTTGATTCATTTTGATGTTTGTGGCCCAATGATTGATCAAGAATTCTTACCCCCACCCCCCTTAAAAAAAAAAGAATATGTGAAAGGAAGAATAAGATTGTGTTACACATGGCTAGGTGCTTGTTATTTGAAAAATCAATGCTTAAGTATTTTTAGGCAGAAGCAGCCAACACAACCATTTATCTGCAAAACATACTACCAACAAGGGCATTGGAGAGAATGACAGCTTATGAATCTTGGTATAAGGTCAAAGTTGTAGTTGAACATCTCAAAATCTTCGGCTGCGTATGCTATTTGCATGTTCTAAAGGCAAAAAGGTCCAAGTTAGATCTAAGGGCAGAACTAAGAGTCTTTCTTGGTTATAGTTTGATAGCTAAGGGCTACAAGTTGTTCAATTTGAGCTTTAGGAAAGTTCAAGTTGCAAGA